TCCGCTACTGGTTCTCCAGAACCTGTCAGAACCAGCTGAATTTCACCCATGCCTGAGATATATTGTTGTTTTTAGAGGTTCTAATTACTTAATATTTCATTCTTAACTTTTAGGCAGGATATTATGTTGAAGGATTTTTCATGTAAAGCTTCTTCTGTTACACTTTGTAGATATTCATACTTTTTCTGCATAAAATAGCCTGCACAACCCTGGCCAAATGAATTAGACAATTTGAACAGGAGGTTGATTTTATATGGCACCAAATCCAAGGAACATAATTTTTTTCTGTGTATCCTGTAACAGAGACTTCCTCAAGAGCCTTACATGGGATGAGCAATCAAGTGGACAGTGACTTAACAGGAACCTCAAGGAGACATCGGTTCTTGCCATGGATATTAAAACAACGAACAGTTGGAAGATAAAAAAGTGGATTTTAGTTTATTTTATCATGTGAGTTTGCAGGTGTACATTACAGGACATTACAGGACAACATTACAGGGCAAAAATACAGGAGTTTTTGAGCCTACCAAAGGTTTCTTCTTTCCAATGCACCTCATCTTGGCTACTATAAGCCTTATTTCAGCAAAACATCCTTTCTGTGACAGCGTGTCTTCTGGCTCACAGCTGAATCAATTTGATTTATAGTGCACTACAAAGGGCAACTTCCTCAAAGGCTCAGTGCTGTATTTAATACTTGCTGAAAAGTATAAGGTATTTCTTCAGAACACTTCAAACAATTATCATTATTTCAATTATCATTGTGAAGTAGGTGAGCACATGATCACCCCTTGAAGGAAGAACAGATACTCCAGATTCTATATAAAACTACGAATTCTGCGTCGACGCCTTCCTCTCTTTAAAATGTATTCTTTCTGCTAATAGTTCACTTTATGAATACACATCATGGACAAGCCCTTTCATTTTCATTAAAAGACAACAATTGAGTGAACAGATTATTTGGTTTGCTAATGGTATTTTTTATAACACCCACTATAAATTAGTAAAAAAATGCGCCCTTTGAACAGTTTGGGTGGCCTACCTCAAGCTGGTACTCTAGTGGTGCTGGGACTGGTACCTAGCATGTCCAGTGAGAATATCAGCTAGCATGAGAAATAAATGGTCTGGCACAACTTAGGATCCATTAGATGAAATAGAATGTACTAGAGCAAAAGCTTTGGGAACAATTCCCAGAGTTCCCTAAGAAGGGAAGGGAGAGAGCAGATAAATGTAGACAATGCCTAAGATTCCCCAACTGCTCCCAGTGCTTGTAAGCAAAAGAGAGAAGAAGAGGCCACTTGATTACCGTTATTTTCGAAAGAAATCTACGCATGCTTTCCCCAGTGTAGGGTACTGTGCGTTATCCATGCGGAGTTAAGCCTTGCAGGACTTCTCAGATTCACACGCGCAACTTTTCAGCTGAATCATTGGCCAGCATCTCATCAGCAACATCGCGAGGTACATTGGGTGGTGGGATCTTGAGATCAGAAGGTTCCACATTCCAGATATCACGAGCATATTCTTTGATGGTCCTGTCACTGGAAAACTTCCCAGATGCTGCAATGTTCCTGATGACCATTTTGGTCCATTCTTTGGAGTTCTGTAACAAAGAGCTTATGTGAACCTGGCTCTTGATGACAATCAAATTCAGGATTACTACTGAACATGGTACAGTCCCATATATCACACTATAATTCACCTCAAATGCCTAACAAGCAATACGTGTTACGGTTTACCGACACATGCACGATAGACATATGTGCGATGACGAAACCGTGATGACAAAACCGCGACATCAAAATCGCTAATTGATTTTCGACAATAGTGCGCCGACAAAATCGCGCATACATACGTTATAACCCTAACCCTAAAAAATTTCCGATATTATTGTGCTTGTCATCATGCTTTTGTCGGCGCGATTTTGACATCGTGAATTTGTGGGCGCGATTTTGATGTTGCGGTTTTGTCGGCGCGCATATGTCTATCGCGCATTTGTCGGTGAACCGTAACATGTATTGCTTGTTAGGAATTTGAGGTGAATTATAGTGTGATATATGGGACTGTACCATGTTCAGTAGTAATCCTGAATCTGATTGTCATCAAGAGCCAG